ACCGCAACACATATTTTTAACACACACCCGCAAACCATTAGAGGAAAGGAAAGGAGTAAAGAAGGATGTAAATTCACTCATCCACGAAATGGGTGAGCAGCAGCGGTAAGGCAACGTTCCCCTGGTATGGTGTATGTGTGCGTTCGATAGTTTTTGGCTTTCTTAAGCTACACGGAGAAAATAGAGAAAACATATGTATGTATTTGTAAGTTAAAGTTCTTAGCATCCTTGAATGCACACGCAAACAAATAAACAAAACGAATTACGACAAAGCAGTGAGGAATGTCCTGTCCAAGTGTCCTTTCTGCCTGGCGTATGGGTATTTTCTTTTGCTGCTAGCTGTTATTATACCTTGAATGGGGTATACGATATTAAATTTGTTAAAAAATTTGTAATAGCTAGAAGGACACGACGGAGAAGCCAGCTTCGTCTCTCTGTCTGTATATACGCGAACTGGTTTTTCACTTTTTGAGATATCGCACAGAAAATTGTCGTGCTTTTTTTTCTATCCAAGAAACTGATTCTCTGTCAGCACAACCGATTCCTGACTACTATAACATATAGCTGTCGTATTGTACAAACGGAAGGGTCGGAATAAAGTCCTTGTATGAAAAACTTTTTTATGTGATGAGTAATCTTCGCAAAATTTCGTCTAGACTTTTGCCTAAAGCTGGAATATAATCTGTGAAAAAATTTTTCAGATCAGACTACTGTAACATATAGCTGTCATACAAACTGAACGATCGGTATAAAGTTTTTGTATGGAAAACTTTTTTATATGACAAGTTATTTTCACAAAATTCGGGATAGATAATTACCTAAGATATTTGTATCATATCCGAGAAAATCGGTCAGATCGCACTACTATAGCATATAGCTGCCATAGAAACTGACCATACAAAATCAAGATAAAGACACTACAAAAAATGCATCTGTGAATGGTATTATAGCTTCGGGCAGCCGAAGTTAATGTTTTTTCTTGTTGTTGTTATTGTTTAAGACATTTGCTTGTATGCAATTTGTATGCTTGAGAGCCTTTTACGACTTGAAAACTGCAGGACACATGCTTATACGCACCAACAGACTCACACACGCACATCAACACACACCCACACAAGAGACTATAATTCGTACATCTTCAGTTGCATTTGAATGTGTGTAAATATATTTTATATTAAAAGACCAAGTCTGAGAAGCAAACAATTTAATGCGCTGTAAGTGTCAAACTACAATTTCCACACTAAAACACAAACGCAACAAATAAACTTGCAACAACAATAACAACGGTGAACTTCAAATAAAATAGCGAGTAAGAAATAATATTCATTACAACAACAGCAGCCAACAATTTACAGTTAAATGTAAGATTAATACCTCATGGCAAATCTCTAGCGAATTCCTGGTCCAGGCCTGCAGCCTCACTCCCACACATGTGCTCACAGTTTGCTTTGCTCTGTCCTCTCTACTTCCCAAGCGTCTACAAGGAAGCACCAGCTGAGGAATTTTCAATTTTCTTAAGCAACTTTTCGACCCACAATCTGTCTTTATGACTGCCATTGCACACTGTGCCATTCGCTACGATTTTACTCGCATTTCATTTGCGAGTCTGAGTTGGCAAGCGAACCCGGAGTTACTTGCATGTACGAGTATTCATGTGGCGCATGACAGTGCGTCCGATATGCGCTGGTAATGCGAAATGCGATTACATGACCAAGACATGGGCATTTAGTGTTGGCTTAAAAGGTCAATATTTGGCGGAAGGGTAGGGATAGTACGCCGTAGTTGGAGAGTGGTTTGTGTGTTCTTCGAAATATGTTACATTAGGACTCGTAGAAGTCTGATCAATATAAATAGTGGAGAATTACAAAGTAAGGCAATTTTTTGATTTTTAGGAAGGTGTTTTAGAGAAGATGATTTACAAGAATTCCGATGTTACACGACTATTAAGCTTTATCACTTATGTTGAAAATCAGTTCAGCAACTCTCTCACTCTACAAGTAAATGGACTTACGATCACTTAAAAACTTATGTTTTAAGTCAGTAGTAGAAAAGTTTGTTGGTATGGGTAAGAACCAATAGCTTCGTGCCCACCTTAGGAGACAGAGTTTATTAAATTACTAGCATTTATTTAAAACCAAGTTTTGCCAGTCTCGATTGTAGAAGCCTTTGTTAATTTCCGATCTACCGTTGACTTTTGCAGTTTTGCGCCCAGGTAGATTTTTCCATCGCGATTTGATTTTCCTTGTCATGTTTCTGTCGACATCATCATATAGACAACAAAATGTCGATCACATTCTCAGGTGACATCTGTACACCACTCTTGGCAATCTGATCCACTTTCCACTGCTAGAGACGCCAGCTCCAGGGGAAGTGTAATAGCAAAGACCTCTACATGAAATATACTGCAGTGGGTCGGAAGCTTAAAAGGCTATCTTATACCTAATTCTGGACATCCCGCACGAGCTCCGTCCTCCGTTTTCGATCCATTCATATACATAAGCCTGTTGGGCGCAGCTATCATACCTTTACGCCAACCCTCCTTTTATATGCTTTACGTAAACCTTTTTTCGCAATTGAGAAATTGGATCATGTAGTCCATGTGTACCATAAATTCTTCTGAAAATAATAGTCGCTCCGCCGATTTTGCCGCGCTGCTTTTAGCAAAGAGATCTATATGTGACAGCGTAGTAATTTTCTGAACCCTTACCATCGATTTCCGGCAAGTAGAATTTCGTAGGCCTGTTCATCACACTACTGCATCGTAGAGTAGAATTAGTCTTACAATCATGATGTAGCACTAGTGTCAGTTACTCGTTCATCTACATTCTTCTTCCACTGATATTTGACGTAGTCCTTGTAGAAAGAGTTGCGTTCCGTTAATCAAAAGAAGACTCCTTGGAAAGATTTTGTTCTCGTTAGTGAAAACTAGCAGATCTGGTTTTCCTGGATTTAATCTCAGACCCGTTTGTGATGCCCAATTCCGGACTGTGTTAAGAGCGTTGACCATAATACTGCTAATGATGTGTAGGCATCACTATCTTGGAGGCTTTGCGTCTCAGTTCTTTAAGAGTTTATTCACCATTCATCTTCATCGGTGTAGAGATAGTACTACTGCGTTGTACCTCTACAGACTTCCTTGGTTATTTTAGCGTTATTTCATTCAGTTCTTATCCCTCTAGAGATCAAGCGGATTCTGGCCCGTACCTGTTGAAATATCCAGGAACACTTCAAGAGCGTATTTCACATTCAACAAATCGAATGCTTTCAACAAGAAGAAAGTTAAACTTATAGGCCTTAGCTCTTACGAGTAGGCTGAGTTGTTTCTAGCTGCCTTCGTTATGAAAACTACCCTAGATTTTCTCCAATAGTGTTTACTTTTTTATTGGATTTCTTTGAGTTTCTTGGAACAAGAATCTGAAAGGTTTAAATTAAATTTACGATTTCTAATAAGTTTCCCTTTTGAGCTTTACTACTAAAATGTTCTCGAGAATTCAGGAAGTTACAATTCCATTAATATCAAAGTCATAATTGCATGGTGAGTTCTTGAATCTGTTCTGAACTGTGTAGTATTAACTCTTTATAACAATTAGGGTAAGGTGTGGGAAGGTTATTTATGGATCACAAATAATTTTAGGCGACTGCGTTCTATCGATATCGTGAGAGTAAAAAGAGGCATGCATCATTCTGATGCTTCAGTGATCTTATTAAATTGATGTATGGGTATGAACAATTTTAGTTTTACAGTTAATCACATTCTGGTGATTCTGGCAAATTAGTAGTTTCTTGGGTATAAAATGACTTGTCATAAATTTCAGATCAGCATCTCAAAAAATTAGGAATTAGTTCATAAGTATTCAGACAGTCGGACGAACGAATAGGCGAACGGATATAGCTACATCGATTCAGCTCACCACTCTGATCATTTACATATGGTGTATTCGTAGTAGGGTATTGGATGTGTCCTTTGGATTTTACACCTAATAAACCCTGTTCATGTATAAATATTGATGCTATACATAGGCATGTCCCTCGATCTTTATTTGACATTGACCTAGATAATCCTTTATAATCCACAGCTAAAATGTTTATATACTTTTTAGAATGTTAGAGGAACTTCATTAACGAATATTCTATTTCATACAAATCGAACTGCCGTAATGTTGGCACAATTGCACGATATGTTTCGAATGCACTAAACCAATACTTAATAAGTACGTGTTTGGCTTTGGACTTGTAAAGAATAATTTATCAAATTTCGAAAATTTTCCGATACGTGCATGGGCAAAGTGTTGCCTGAAGGATATACTGAAAAAATTTAACAAAAATTTAAATCGATTATACGAAATCTTCACGAAAACATAGTGCTCACATAATTCAACTCTTTTTAGCTTAATGCACGCATACAACCTTCAACTTCTTACAACAATTTTCTTAAAGATTTCCCACACGCAACTGGGATTTATTTACAGCCGCCGCTTTAAATACTTAATCACTTTTTCCCTCACACGCCTCAAAACAAAAAACGTAAAAAGATTTGTGTGACCAAAAATTAAAAGAGAAAATCTTGCACGGCAACGAGCACTTCCGCCGGTGCTGATTATCTATCGACGGTGACGGCGGCACCAGCCGCACAGTGGTGTCCGCTGCGTTACCCTGGGTTACTTCCGCGTTGAACGGTTACAATTATAATTACATTTTAATTAGATTCATTCGGCTGTAAAGTGTCCTTTTGTGTACTATGCTTATAATTTCCATTCTTTCTCCTCTCCACTTTCACTGCCAACACCTTTGGTGGGCTTCACTGTGTCCGATTGCGTTTCAGTTCGCACTTGGTCGCGCTTTTTTTCGCGTTCGCCATTATTTTTTAACGAATCGCTGCCGTTTTTGTATTTATGCTTCAGTTTGCGCCTTTTTACAGTTGCGCTTTCCTTCATTTGCTTTTAATTTTTTTATGTTTTTAATTTTCTTTGTATTTTTTTTCTTTCTTGTTTATTTCTCAGCTGGATTTTTGCATTTTTAATGACTCTGATTTATTAATGGCGACAAGATGATTAAGACAGCGTGATATAAGCCATGGCGGGCAACAGTTATTGGTGGTTGGTGGGAAGTTTGCGGCTAGGAACTCGGACACTGTGGAAAACTGGTAAGTTTAATTAAGAAATTGAAATTTTTAATAAAACACAATACTTGAGGCAAACATTCTTGGGATCTTGGAATGCATTCATCCATGTATACTATATATTGATTTTTACTGTTGTGTCTTTCCTACCGATAATTTGTAATCTGCTTATATGTTGGGTGATATATGCTGAAAAAGCCCTTCCTCTTGTATTTTACTTCTCTTCTTATTCAGAAGAATTTACACTGAAAAAATTTATGTTTAAAAATTTGCATTTGGATCAGTATTTACAATTTCGGAGTTTGTCCAGTGCATTTGACTCTAGGAAAATAAATTTTGGCTAAAACTTTACATAATATATATATTCGCATATACAATACTAATAATCAGAAATGGCAAAGTTAAGAAGGCTGCTTAACATCACTACGCGGATTCTTTGAAAATTTACCTCTAAAAACCTTTTCAGGAGATACATATGCTACATTTATCTTCTTCTTCTTTATTGGCGTAGAAAGCGCTTACGCGGTCATAGCCGAGTCTTCCTATAGCTTTTTAACGCCAATCGGAGATTCTAAGTGTAGCCAGGTCCATAAGGTCTTTCTAACAGAGCAGACATCTTCCTCTTCTTCCGCTTCCACCGGCGGGTACTGCGTTGTATAATCTTAGAACTGGATAGCTTTTATCCATTCAGACAACATGACCTAGTCAGCGTAGCCGCTGTCTCTTAATTCGCTGAACTATGTCAATGTCATCGTATAACTCGTACAGTTTACCCTTCCCTCGAATGCGATATTTGCCTTTGTCATTTCAAAAAGGCCCGTAAACTTGAAACTCCTAACGTTGACTCATCAAATGTTGTCCTCGCCCGTGCCTCTGCATCATATAGCAGGACGGGAATGATGAGTGACTTGTAGAATTTGGTCTTTGTTCGTCGAGAGAGGACTTTACTTTTCAATTGCCTACTCAGTCCGAAGTAGTACCTGTACCTGTAGTACCAGAGTTATTCTACGTTCGATTTTGAAGCTGACATTTTTGTTGATGTTAATGCTTGTTCCAAGATAGACGAAATTATATGCGACTGTCAATAGTGATGTGAGAGCCAAGTCACGTATGCGACTACGGTTTAATAACAGCAGATTTTTCGCTTTGTTCACTTCCAGACCCATTTACTGCGCAAATGATATCGTTTTCACCGATGACTTTAAGACACTTTACTGCATTCTTTCTGGTTTCAGCTCATTTTTGAGGCGCCATTCGCCAGACTGTTGGACAGTTTCGCTGTCATATTTTCGCCTCGTCACCAGTAATTATATATGTGATGTGATACTGTGGGGTCTTTAGTGATTTTGTCAAACATTTGCGAACTCTAATCGACGTAGTGTCTCCAAAAGATTCTGGTCTTTTGGTAAGAGTCTAACATTGTTGAGCCTACGAATCTACCCCGATCTTTGTGCTTCATATCTAAGACAAAGATCAAAAAGATCTTGAGATCCTCTGCTATGTCTGTGAAGTCACCAAAAGGTTTTCCAATCAAGTTTCTTTAACAGTTTCGATGCTGTAGACATTAACATAGGTGGATGGATGACTCGCATGGAGCAATTTTTCGATAACTTCACGACCTTTACTGAGTTCTTTGTACAACTCACACATTTCTGATCCTGATAAGTTAGACTCTGTACGAATTGATAAAAAAATGGGGATAATTTTAAACCACATCATAGTAATTTCATTGCTTGAGAGATAAGAGGTTAATTTAATAAATGAATGAATTTATATTGATTACGTATGTGCTTTCCTCTCCAAGAAGCTTCTTATTTGTAGAAATGTCCGAGAGTGAAACATTATAGCATACAATATATCTTCCTTCCAAACTGGCCGATCCAAATCAAGATAAAGATATTCTTATACTCTTTTATGCTATAATAAATGCACCTGCTAAGGGTATTATAGCTTCGGTAAACGGAAGTTAACGGTTATTCTTATTATACCCTGAATAGGGTTATAATTCCATCTGCCTCTCCCTCTATCCGCAGTTCCTCAGTCCGTCAGTTTTTGAAAGATCTGTCTAAAATTGCACGCACTTTCTTTTACTTTACAATAAGCTGCTCATTTTTTGGATCCACCGATATCGGACTACTATAGCATATAGCTTCCATACTAACTGCACCATTCAAAGCCATAACTTGTATGAAAAACTTTTTCATTTGATGAGACATATTCAGGAAATTTGGCATGGATTGTTACCTAAGGCAATAATGCATCCGAAAAAAATGTTCATATCGGATCACTATAAAGTTGCCATACAAACTGACCGATCAAAATCAAGTTCTTTCATGGAAACTTTTGTATTTGTGAAAGATACTCGTATTATAGCTTCAATATGGTGCTTGGATCTCTAAGTTTGAATATTATGACTAAAAGCAATCGCTTCGCTCCACAATCATCTCAAAACTCACTTAAAGCACTTAAAGAAGCTAAATCGACTTCTGTTCCACAAGTTCATATACTGCGGTTTTTCTCAGTGTATATACAGTGTATGAGTACATTATGATATAGCTTTTAGAGAACTCAGCAGCTGGTTTAACGTTCGCAATCAATTAAAATTGATATTGCGTGCTCGAAATCTGCGCCACTGCCCCTTTGTCAACCAAAGCCATCTTCTCCACGCTCTAATTTCCTTTTTTACAATTTTCTAGTTTTCCTATCCTTTCCTCAAAACTCTTTATTGCGCCCTTAATCAGTTGTCACAACCGGCGTTGCAAAAGCACTTTAAGCCTTAAAGTATGCTACGTAAACTGTAAAAAAGAGCACTTAAGACAGAAAAGTGAAATAAAGCAATATAACGGTAATTTCAGCTGAATCTTCAGCAATTTAAGCAGCTTTACTTGAAATTTTATAGCCTTTAAGTTTACTAAACGTAAGCATTAGCGCAAGCTTAATGCAAAAAAATGTATAAAAATACAACAATAGCTACGCTCATTGTCACAACAACATTTACATTGTCAATTGTGAAGTAAATCCACGTAACCCCTTCAATCAACCGTTCTGCAAAGCAAGAGAATATGTCTATGCGCTGCTTTTTTCCCCTGCATTGTTATTTTTTCGCTTTTTATTGTATTTTATTGCTGCAACAACAATACTAAAGCGATTAATACATAATCTCAAACCCTCATAACATCGACAATCACAATCGCTTTCTACTCCCCCTGCGCACCCGCATAAGATTTGCGCTCCAAGAAAGTGCTCAGCATGGTCCAATTGTGCTCAGCGTTGCGACGTCAAAGGGTGGCAGGCGACATTGGTGAATTGGCAAGCTTAAGCGAGGCATAAACCCTTTCACCCATGCGGGTCACAGACTCATAAACATTCCGGAATTTTTCTTTTCAAATATCTCCCACGCTCCAGCGAGTGAATCACTGCTTAGCAGCACTGGCTGCAGCGGCGGCAGCGTGTGCGGCTTTCAACTTTCACTTGCCACAGACACTAGAGTACATTCGAGTCCAGGCCCACAGGTTGTGCTTGACTACTCGCCAGCTATAGCTAGCTGCTGGTTGCAGCATCAACTACTACTGCGACAAAGCTCACTGTCTAATGGCAGTGACGACGACGTCGGTAGCAAGTTAGCCGAGCATCATTTTGAAGTTCCACGTCGTTGATTTTATTAGTCTCAAGCGCACAATTCGAAAAATTTGCTGCTTACCAAATGCATTATTTTTTCTTTTCCTCCTCAAGCCATGTAATTTCTTACTTTTTTCCAGCGTCGCATCTTCAACTCTTTTGTCAGCGAAGTGTGAGCAAATGAAAGGTTTCTCGCCACTCTCAGTCTGTAGGCACAATATCATCGCTTTTATTACTCTTTGCAGTTTTTAAAGATACTGTGTTGTTGTTGTAACATATTTAGCAGTCTTGTGTGTCTTTTTAGCGTTTTCCCGTAGCCTTTTTTTTTACTTGTTCTTTTTATTTCCGTGCAAGTTGTTAAATTGTAAAATTGGAAAACCACTTGTTTTCGGAAATTTATTTTATTAGACTGTGACGTGTGCTGAGACGGTCTCATTGTTCAATTTGCTTGCTAATCGGCCCAATTCCCTTCGTTTACGGTGTCTAGTTTTTGTGCGTGTGCGCTTAGTTTTGTCTCAATTTCTACTAAATCGAACATAAAATTACATTAAGATATCGTTAAGTCGTAAAGCGTGTGGCTCATTTACCTCGTTGAGTCCACCGGCAGAAGGTATCTTTACGCTTTTTTTTCTTTTCTAGCATTGGAAAATGTGTCTACTTTAAGCTATATAACCTTTTTCGTCCTTTAATCCTTTACAATATTCATTTGACCCGCACCTCTTATACTTTTAGTACTTAAATATATTACTATTGCTTTTATCTTCCACACTTTTCTGGGAAACCATGAATTCCACCTCCAAAAACGATCTCAACTTTCGATTGTAAAGTAAATATTTTATTATCTTTCTCAAAGTCCTGCAGCATTTAGATAGATATATGAAATTTGAGGAATGCAATGAGAGCTGTGATCCATTGAGTCCTCTCTCTCTCTTATTATGTATATCTCGTTTAACCCAGAAAAATCAAGGCGGCTTGTAAATACCTGAGATTAACGGTTGTAATGAGTTCTCTAACTTGATTTTATTGTCAGACGGTCTGACTCCTTCTTTTTGTGATTGCGGTTCCTGCCTAATCGGACTCGTTGCCGCAGTTCACCATTGATGCCTCTTTACCCAGAGATCTATGTAAGTAGAACATTGTTTTCAGTGGCAACCCTATTAATCATTTTTATGCACTCCAGTACCATTATTTATTTGATTAAAACGCACGAAACTGCCTGAAGTGCATCTACTATATACTTCCCAGCCAAGCTCTTTCAGTTTTTGACGAGTCATCAAAGCTGTGTGTGGTCTCTGTTCGATCAGCTCATAGTGGATGATTCCTTTTCAATTCCACCAAACACTCATCATAACTTTTCGAGGCGTCATTCTTATCTTTGCGACCATTTGTTGAGCTTCACCATGTTT